CTGGCGGTCTATGACTCAACGGTGCATATCATATTGTACACGTACTGGTGGTACTATTATGCGAGTGTGTTGTGTCGATAGTGTATATGATATTTGGACACGAGACTTACGTAGCAATAGTCCATATTGAGGCTAAAGGGCATCAGTCGTATTTGGACAGCTCCTGATGAGGCTATTACAAGTCATAACCTAGAGATATGGGTGGCGCACCATACATATAGCGACGCCGCTGCTTCACACCTACCAAATCCATACATGTGCGCTATACTGACTCATGTATACATATTATGAAGCGATGTGTATCTTTCCATGACGCGTATAAGATCTTTTCCTACCTCGCCGATAGCAACCACATGTAGGCCTCGCCGAGAGTAGCTGCTTCACAATAGAGATAGCACGATTACGCAACATTATTCTACCCAGCAACTAAATCTGGTTTTTTCGGTTGTTTACAGCGACTGAATACAAACAGCGCCGGGATAGTGGTCTCGATTCAACTAGTTCAACCGCAGACACAATTCACGTTTCTAAAATTAACTGTGACCACTCAATGCTGTACATGTGTCAGTTCTGGCACTTGTACTAAACTGTGAGCAAATTGTTTGAACTATTATAAATAAATGTCACTGGAGTGTAAGCCACACACGTAAGGATGCAGGCCAACACAAACACAAATTCACTACCACCCAAGTACCAGGACATACGAGAAGAGAAAACCTACAAAGTGCATGGACAGGCAGTATACACATGTCATGAGGAGGCGAAAGGATCTCTAAACACGAAAGCAGCCTGGCCACGAGCACTTGCTGTTACATACTAGCGTATGCTAGCTAAGACCATTACTTATATGTCAGCGGCGCCACCGCCATGTGTACAAGGGCTTAATTTGGAGTAGGTTTACAATTGGGGAAAGCTAAACTTAATAATGTTAGATATTAACGATGATTCAATACGGCATCGAACTCCGTCGCAATTTAGAGAACAACTATAGCAGTTCATGGTCCTGTGTCCTTCTAGCCTTGGAGTGCTACTGGTCGCGAGCATAGATACCAATGTCGGAGCGAGGTCATTCTGTGATGAGTACATCTTCCCTATCAGAGTGATAGTGGTAGATAGAAATCGGGCGTTCGTCGTAAGTAGGGGTGCTACGTATTATTATGCTTACTTATTTATACCACTTCTATAAGTCCAATCGACGACCGAATGCGCTGAGTCTGATTATGTCTAGGTCTAGGTCGCGCTCTTGTGGAGAATTACGTTTGACGGTATTCGAATCGTCTATGATTAGGGGGTGAGTGAGGAGGTGGGGGGGGTGTGGGTAAGAAGGGACGTGTGAATGCCGAAATATTACTTGCAGTGCCGTAGCCATGGTGATATATTAGATAAGTAATAGACTTGGATCAGAGAAAATCCGTGAGACAGTGTCTACGATTGGAATACAGGGAATAGGGAGATTGTATTAATTTAGGAAGAAAGGGACTGAGATGTAGGAGAAAGGGGATATAAAAGAGAGGTATTATAGTTCCTTAATAAACTTAAGAGAGCTCCTAAACGGGACAGAGTGTTAATTACGATTGAGCGGAGATATTAGTGGAGCATTAACGATTGAATACCTGGATTTAAGAGTTAATGTGCATATATAAGATATAGCAGATCAATTACTTCTTTAGAGAGTCATTTAGCCGTTGAGTGAAGGGGAATAATGCCAAACAGTAATAAGTGTAACGAACTGCTTAGCTTGGAAGTGACTGCGCGTTGCATATAGCAGTAGGAGGCAGGAGGCAGGGAGAGTCGTATAAATTGACATAGTTATGATGAATAGGAAATAGCATGTAGAGTGAATGGCGCTTTAAGTGCCCCTCATGGAGGTCTGGGCGTGGAGCCTCATGAACTGCATGGCCTAGTCATAATGACCTAGGACCCATACTCCTAATCAGTCTGCATCCAATGTAGTGACATGCAATCATTGACCATTTTATCTCCGTGGTTTACTAAACTTCGGTAACATGGTATGGAGCACTGAGAAAGCTACGCCAAGGCAGTGGACATAAGTCCATCTATAAACAACACTGACATCTTCATTCTCCACGCACACAGACGCTATGAAGTCCAAGATGCAAACGAATGCAGTCTTTATATACTACTCTCATCCTTTATTTCTACACCTACTCATCCATTCTCGGCCGAAACAACTCTAAGCTTTATCCGGCAATCCAAGCGCGTCTGCTTCCTCATCACCTGCGTCATAGCAAAAAAACGTTCATAGCCGTCACCCTCTAACTTTACCCGCAGCACGATTGCTATCAAGTCAACGGACAAGATCTCTAACCTACCAAAGCCAGGCTCCGCTTCTTATCCATGTTGCACCCTAGTGATTTCACTCCTCCTAAACAATGGAACTACCATGAACTTGCCCATGTAAGAATGGTCGAGCTCTTTGAAGTCATGTCAGAACGATCTCGGATCCCTCAAAGGAGAGCCCCTTTGGACGTAAAGCTCCGGCGGACGCGCGAAGGTTAGCCTACAGTCCACTCTCAGTGTGCAACACGTGTTAGTCGGATGGTTTGGAGCATAGAAATGTGTGCTAAGCCGAACTGCCTTGCGGCTTGAATTTAATGTTTTCGCCAGTAAAATCGTACTCTAATAATACATAGGCCACGCTTATACCAAAACAGCCCCCATTTCACAATAAACTGGTACCATCCCCGAACCAAAACACGTGGTTTAACCGGATCATCGATTAGAACAGAAATATACCCTCCCGACGTCTCTTATATTCTTTCTAAAAAGCTTCAGCTTAGATCTGGAGTATGAGCTACCAGTACTGTTCATTGTCGTGCCTGGCCAGAAATTCTACCATAAATCCGCGCCTCGACCTCACTCCAATTCAGAAGTGTCCGTCCACTACACCAGGATCTAAATCGGTACATAGAAACGGACTATATCCTTATCACGAGAGATCCTGGGCCATTTTTGAAGAGCTGTTAGGCTCCTCACAGGGTACTCGCCTCGATTTGAACGAGTCTATCGTGCAATGACACCAGCAGACAAATTTCTTCTTCTCGTTGAGGGGACGCTTACTAGGCGTGCTTTTTATTATTCTGTTATTCCGAAGTAGAATGAATACTGGTGTTTATCCTGGTCACGCAACCTCTGCCACTCCCCGAATTGCCATCGGATGCAGATAATTGTAAGGGGAACGCAGCATACCCTTTTAATGGTTGTGCACCTTCCACAGTCGATCTCTTAGCAATGCTCCACACGATACCCGTAAACTGTCCTCGACTTTAATCATCGCACGTATCACTAAATCGCTCAGCCATTTCTACCAGGACGCAACCATCGTCTTACCCTGACTATCCTACACTCTGGACTGAACATGAGGATAACTACACTCATTTGTGCTAGGCTGATGATTGTTGAGGGAAGGAAGCCGTTTGCTCATGGTCATCATAAAGGTTCATGTCATGGTATGGGTACCACTTTCAAACATGTGCGGACATGCCCTCGTATTACCTGCTTTTCAGGTTGCAGGTCGACTCTAGAAGTGCTGGGAGGGACACAGGGGTAGCGGGCGGGTTCCACTTACATTCCATAGTGCGTGGGGTTACAGATAGATGGAGAGGTATGAGGCACACTGCTCTAGGTCCGCTTTAGTCGTTGACTACAACTTTTCCGAGCAGGACAGCCGAAGAGTCAGAGTCACCTGTTGAGCGTCCTTCGGGTTCTAACGCAGACATGTCCAGCCAAATGGCGCTATGCTCGCTGTCAATTAGGGGTCTCGACGATAGTGCATTTAGGCTGATAAGGTTAACTCGAGGTGCATACTATCTCCTAGACATCCGCTCGAGCTTATAAAGCATAATTATACCATCGTGCAACGCGATGGACCATTCTCGCATCCTCAACATCATTGACTCTCCCTGTGCGTGCGCTGAATAACATCTCGAGATTGGGCTGCGTCACCAGGACAAGATTGTACGAGTGATCCGAGATCACTCGTGCTGCAGTAGTTCTACGATCAATGGCTGTTGTACCGGAAGCATATAGTCACCAACACTGTATGGGCATGCAGTAAGCCAGCAATAGAAGCTATGCAAGCAAATGCAAGGACGCGCATTAGCTGGCAAGAGCAAAGATGCAAAACGAGCAGTCATACGGTACTCTTGCGCGCTCATTCTCGCATAAGGTCTTTATTCATCTATCCGCGGGGCACCGACAGTTAGCAGTATACTCAAAACAAATAACACACAGGCTACTACGGGTAGGCATCAGCCAATTGGAGACTCTTAGACTTAGTCAGAATGTTGTAGCTTATTTGGGGACCTTCAGCTGAGTTCAACTGTGATGTCGTCTCATATTTCTCTTTCTCGCTATCAGGTGAGATACCCGACGCCCGCGACGGATGGGCCGGAATTATTCTCCTGCAGTTCTAGCCTTCTGACTCTTGACATGCAGAAATCCTAAGTCCAACGAACTGACTGTTGTAGCGCGATACCATGTGAAGATCAAATCTTATCGATCGCTCGAGAGGATTAAACAATGCACTCTGGCTTTTTTCCCCTTTTATTGTAGGTTGCCTCTGGAAGTGTCTGACGTGGACCGGTGAGCAATCACTCACAGAAGAAGAATGATATGCAGCATGAGAACTGTTTCATTTCATAATGTTTACAGGCAAATTGGAGATAGTAGGTTCTTGCGAGACAGACTCGGCTGCAGCTGTGAGACTGTTAGCTCTCGTGAAGTGGCAGGCAGCTCTGACAGTAGTCCAGAAATGCTCCGATAGAGTCTCCCTCATTCCCCAAAGCTACACTACGTCACTGTAAAAAATCTTGGATGCTGCAAATTCGTGAATTTCACGGAGGTTTAGTAAATGTCAGTGTGTCCACTCCTCTAAGTAAAACTTTCTGCCTCCTGCAAATTTTACGAGTTTCCCTAAACATCCCTTGAAAGAAGTGGGTAATGTGTGTGTTGGTTGTGTGTTGTCTTACCCAGTGGAATTCGAATTTCTGAGCATGATGATCTGACGATATCTGTGAAGTTGGAGGCTCTGCTAGGTAGAGGTGATCACATCATTCAAGTGCAAGTGCTCCTTTCTCTTGCTGCCTTTGCGTAGGAGATGAGTGAGACTGCTGACGTCAGCAGTCCTGGCTGTATGGAGACACGCCCAACCAGTTGGCTCACTTGCTCGACATCAGTGCTACTGCCTGGTATATATGAGTACAGCTCTTTTCTATGAGAGCTGTTCTCTTTGTTGTGGTGTGTTGCGTGTGGTTACGTACTGTATATACATACACATGTGGTGGGTTATGATTACTGTATGTGTATATATATATATATATATACATGTATGTACCATAGCACAGTGGTTTGAGGTTTGCCTTTGTCTTTTGTGTGTTGTATATGTGTTGTAGACTCGAACCACCTACAGCTGAGTTGCCCTGGTAGCTCAGTTGTGTAGAGCGCTCGACGCCTAGACTGCAGAGTGTCGTGATCCACCCAGGGAAGGTCTTCTTCTTTTAGCTGTCCTGGGTGTAGTTGAGTACAGAGAAATATGTAGAGGGGTGCAAGAAAAACACATTAAAGCTGACTGACTTATTTGAAAATGAATCATTGTTTTGTTCTTGCAGTATGCCCAACTTTAGCCTGGCCCCAGCGCTGGATGTCCTCTGCACGGGCTCCTACCCTAGACTTCCCTCCTGCATCAGGGACAACATAGTCCCCCCGTCACCCCTGACGGGGCCCGAGGCTGACGCGGCACTCTCTCTCCTCACCGTCGCCATCAGGAGACGACTTCTCTGTGAGCAGATCCCTCCTCAGATGACAGTCAGGAGTCTCGGTGAGTTTGCACACTACATACACATGTACAGCTATACCGAGGGTGAGGAGCACCGTGGGTTTCATCAGTCAATTGTTGAGGAATCCCAGGGCAGATCTTTGTTTTTTTTGAGAAAGTGTTTTTCTAGGTCTCGGTGAATTCATCATAGGTTAGTTAAACCTTTTGCTAATGTGAACCGTCTGCTAGATTATTCAAGCAAAAGTTTACTGCCGAAATGCATGCCTGTTGCTATTCCTACTTCACACTCTCCACAGAAAAAGGGATCGTTGTGTTCGAAATACCACACGAGTTCCGACTGTCCCTCTCGGTCGTCGGCGACGACCTGAAGTTGCCGTGGCGACTGGTAAACCTGGAGGTATTGGTGGGGGTGGGGCTTCCAGGTGGGCCACCGCTGTGCCACAGTCAGCAGACCCGGTACCTGACGCAGCTGGCACAGAGCCATCTCGTGGCGGCCGAGTACCCCCTGACCCATGTCTTCACCCTTCTACACACTTTCTGCCTCTCTCTGGTCTTGGACTGCCTACACACTCAGGTACTGTATACACATACAGTGGAACCCCTCTCTAAGAACCCCCTCGAAATGAGGACACCTATCTTTTCTCTCCAAGAATAGATTTTCAAGGCACAGAAGTTTTGTTTTAGACGGCGGAAACTGTGTGTTTTAACAGTTAGAGTGTACATATCCTTATTCACTGGCAGTTTCTGTAGAATGTGTGTGTGTGTCAATAAGGCCTCCTCTCCCTCCTCCTCTTTTCTCTCCCTCTTTTCTCTCCCTCACTCTCTTACAGGCAGGTCTAATGAGTTCTATGGCAGCAGGTGGGCATGTGAGGGTAGATGAATACCAGGTCGGACAACTGCTGAGACTGGGATACTGGCTCCCCAGCACTCTCTCTCCCCTACCAGCTTCAGGTTAGATTAGCAACCCCTGAATAATACAGGCATGCAGACAGGGGGAGCTCTCCTGGGTGTAGTTGACTTGTTTGCCTCGTCTTGCGTTTCTACCTCGCTACCGAGTTGTTGCGACATGCTTAAAAATGTTCCATTAATGCACTTCAGTGTGCATATTCAGTGTTGACCACAACGTACGTACAGTACATGGAACCATAGTGTCCAGTATTGAGATTTTCGGAGGTAGTATAATAAACTAATGTAATTAGTGTGGGGCAGAACCGCGTGTCCTTTATTGAGAGGTGTCTTTATTCGGAGGTTACACATTAGCATTGGATGGAGACATGTGCCCCTTGCCGAGTGCCATTAACAAGTACACTTTCACCAACAAACCTTTACACCCACTATGCAGATAAATATTTTTCCGTGTAAACGGTGGAAACCGCGTTTCACTTTCCGTTTTAAAAAAACATTTTCGTGTTAAGATTGAAGTATGTATGCGTATGCGTATGTGTATGCAGAGGGTTTGTTGGTGTGTGTGTGTATTGCTGTCGAGGTTCTATTGCCAGCTAGCAGAAGACTTTAAGGGGAATAAGCTTTCCTGATTGGTTGCTTGTTGTGCCATACACAAACGGTCACTCCACAAATATTCATGGAGTATCTTCATTTCATGGTTTAGTCTGAAAAACTGCGAATGGTTTTCTTTCTCGTAACCTACCAACATTGTACCCTTGCTTTACCCTCCTCTACCACATGTGAAATTTAAAAGATTGCTGGGGGGGGGGGTTTAAAATGTATATTATAACTATTCAATAATGGAGTGTGTGCCCGGAGCATTCACCTGTTTAGTTGGTTAGAAAATGAATCTCTTGTGCAAACATCTGCGATCAGTACTTAGTTGACTAAATTGCGTGAGTTTTTGTGAATGGCATAAGTAGTCTTGAAGTATAGACTTGCTTGTGTTAAATGCTGGCAAAAAATGTGTTACGTTCGTTCTAACAACCACGCAGTCAGTATCTCTTGTTTCAGTTGCCCAGATGGTACCTCGACTCCAGATCACGGTGGACCCATCCTCCCCCTCCCACCCCATCACCACCACCCACTCCCCACCCCTCCCCGCGGGCACCACTGCACAGCTCTCACTGGGTAACCTCTGTCTGGAGAAGGTGGTGGGGAGGTGTGTGAGGGCTCGCTCCTCAGCCAAGCTTCAATTGCTGCGAGACAGCCTCAAGAACACAGTCTGGGAGACAAGAGGTGGGAATAGCAGTCAAACATTTTGAGTGCTCACGCTTGTAAATTGTTTGCAAACTGCGAAATTCGCTATCTCTCAAATGTTTCCAACTAAGGTTGTCTTGCACTAGTTTGGCTGTGACTGCTGCGTCTGGTAAACCAAGGTACCGTTGAAAAAAGGGTTGCAAGGAATAATGTTTATCACGGGACAGGGGGCTGTTAACTGATTCTTGGGCTGAGCCATGTAGATATGAATTCAACCGCTCAGGCTTGTAGCCTTGCGTAGCTCACCATTACTGAAACCGGTTAATGCTACCAGATTCGTTGAGTATCCCTCCATTAGGATTTTTATCATTGCAATTTTTTATCTTGAACGAGGAATTCCTAGTAAGCACGAGTCAGCAGCTCGCATTGATTACGCCCCTGCCCTTTGTACATGTGGCATGTTAATGCCGAAACTACTGTAGTTGTCAGTAATAGTACTAAATGATCAAGGTTTCATATCTGAGTGAGCTCAAGAGCAGTGATTTCTTGCTCTGTTGAACTGTGCATCCTATAGACGTCGTACACAGAGGGTTTTGGACACATTGCAGGCCATGTATATAATATACTGATGTGTAATTTGCCAGGCCAGCCTTAGCTGATACATATACAATCTATTGTGCTATATATACATACATTATGACTAAAATACACGTAGATTTCAAAGATGAGAGCTGCGTATTTAGTTAGAGAGCGAACTCTAATTGATGCACACCAGATTCACATAACGGGAAAACTTCAAGGAAGAAAATGTATGTGGAAATCTGTAGCTGTGAATGTTTTAGGAAATATGTATTAATTTTATTGTGTGAGGTCTGCTTTGTTGTAATCCAGCTGTGTTGAGTTCGGAGCCGCTGTGTCTACGTGTGAGTGTCCCGGTGAGGGGTGGACACTGTGAGGTGGTGATAGGAGTGGATGTGAGGACGGGGACAATGGGCGTGGCAGTGGAACCAGGTGCCGGTGGGGAGGGTGTGGAGAGGGAGGTGGGAGAGATGGAGAGGGGAATAGGTCAGCCGGGATCTTATCTACCAGGGCACCTCTCTAGACTACAGTGAGTATTACGTAATGTATAATGTGTCTAACCTTACCCTCTTTTCCCTCAGATGCCAGCTGTTTTTCGACCGTGTCACCGCGTGTGCCAAGGAACTGAGCCTTGCGGTGTCCCCTTCCCTTCCTTTCCCCTCCCCTCTCCCCCTCCCCTCCCCTCACCTCCTCTTCGTACAGCTCCTGCCCCTCGCCTACCTTGTGGTGTGCGCCGTTGAGTCGTCGGGAGTGGTTGCCCCTAGATACTACCTGCTGGAGGTGGTGGAAACAAACGGAGGGGGACAGGGAGTCGACGAGGGGAGAATGCCGCCCGTCCCCAGGATTTTCTACTCCCCCGTTACCCTGGCAGAGTTGGATGATGCTCAGTTAGTGGAGGACAGCTTGAGAGCTGTTACAGGTATAGGTTTATTATAACAGATTTTTGCATGGTGCCCCAGATATTAGTTACTTCTCTCTCTGTAATCACACAGTGAGGTCAAGTCCAGCTGTCGTCAAAAGAAAGGTTTGTATAAAAACGCCATGTACAATCGTTTTACCTCTCCACACCCTTCTCTCTCCTCTCCACACCCTTCTCTCTCCTCTCCACACCCTTCTCTCTCCTCTCCCCATCTCTCTCTTTCTTCTCCCTTCCTCCCCCCCACCTCTCCCATTCTCTGTCTAGCTCCAAGAGGACAGTCATGGACTCCCTAGTACAAAGAGGGTGTGTGTGATGAGCAGCCATGTTGGTTTTTCCGCCCTCCCCTCTCTTTGCTCATCTCGCCTTCTGCTGGCACAGATCAAAACCAGCGTATGTCTCTATCTCTTTCTTCTTCTCCTATGTATATACTTTTTATGAGCAATGCAAAAATAGTGGAGTATATACATACGGTCCGTAATACTGTTAATTTGGCTGTTGTTGATGAGGGCACACCTTACTGGCTAACACATATACACTAGAGGATAGTGCAACACATTTTAGCGAGTGTTTTCACGCGTATTTCGAATCAGTGCAGAAGTGCAGGTGAGTGTGTGCATGACATGTGTGGGCGAAGTGGGGTCATATTTGGATATGTAGTAGATAACTGGAATTCCACCCACCAAATGCTCCATGTCATGTGGAGTAGTTATGTGTAGTTTGGTTACCATTCAGTTGAATCTCGGGCTATTTATGGATGAACGTGTTTACTAGGTTATGTTGTAACAGTGCATGCACACTTTCTCCCCCCATAGCTCAAGATGTCTGGTATCCGCGGCTACCAGGAGCTGTGGCCGGAGCACATGTGTCCGTGTGTGAGTGTGTGTCAGTTTCCGCTGCTCCCAGGGCAGAGTCGCGACGTCCATCGCCACCTCTCCTCCCTCTTCCTCTCCTGCCTCATCTTCCCCGCCCCTTCCGGACACAAACTCGTCGTTAGTAAACTATGTATAGTTGACTTGTTTGTTGTGCCTTTCTACCTCGTAGTTGACACATGCCGTGGGGAAATCTTGAGGGGGAAGGCTTTCACCGCGGCAAATGAAACTTTCACGCCTTAACACGCAATGGCCTACCCACAAAATTCCGTCAAAGACTCGAAATCCATGAAACATTGTTTCTTCCCCTCTCTGTCTGTTTTGTGTTTAGGCCAAAGCTAGAAAGACCCCACTGTTTGCCGTGGTTAAATCACTATTAGTTCAGAGTTTCCGGCGTGTGGTTTTTTTCCACTTTCAGCACCGTTATAAGACTGTACTTTGTAGAGCCACATCACTTTCCTTGTGTAGATTGATGACAGATATTTTGGGCCATTAGTATAATACTGTATGTACTTTAGTCTGCCTTTGTGTGGTATACATATGTACTTCCTCCAATCTCCACATCCCCTCCCTTGATCTTCTCATCCCCATGCTCTCTTCCCTATATACCTACCTACTCTCCCCTTACCCCTTCCTCCCTCCCCATCCTTCCTTCCTCCCTCCCTCCCCCGCCACAGATGGTCTTCTCCCCGCTAATCCCAGCCTCCCAAGCCCCTGACGTAGTTCTCCATCACCACCTCCCCCTAGGAACAGACCTCGGCCCCTCCCTCCTTGCAGACTGGGAGAGCAAGCTAGCCCTCCTATCTATGGCGCTGGAGCTACTCCACTATCTCGAGGATCCTCTGTGGCCGCTGGCTTCTTCCTCTCGTCTCTCTCACTTTGGATACGACTCCCTCACTGTCAGCTATGGAGAACACTCGGTAAGTGAGGGAGGTACTGTATATACCTGCACATGTATGTACTGTATGTCATATAATACACCTGTACTGGAACTAGTGCAACACACTACTGGTGAGCGAGCATGTGTATCGGGTATTTAACATAAAGAATATATAGCGCCAAGTATACAACAATACTTCACTACTGTAGACCTCAATATAAACCATAATGCGCTCACATGCGAACTTGCAACTATTGCTCACAGTACCATTTCCCCATGCAACTTGTTCTCTCTTAAAAGAACACAATTTGGTTAAGCTAGGCACGAATTTACACACATAGAAACCCTTGGATGTTTGCTCTGCGTGCTAGCTGTTTAAAATATCGATAACTTATACTGTGTATATTTGTTGTGTGCTTGTTCAGCTTTGGTTGTTTGCGATACTCTCCATTGTTGCATTTTCTAATGGATGCCAAATGTACTTCAATGATTCGTGTAGAAATTGAACAGCAAAATACAAAAAAGTTGTTTTTTCAATGTTGTATATCTGTTCTCCAGTTGTCTCTACATGGAGGTATGAGTGGACTCCAGTTGTCCTTCTCTCTTGAGAGTCCTCATGTCTTCCTGACTGCTCATCTTCAGCAGACCCTCCTAGCAACCCTCTCCCTCCCTGTTCTACTCAAGGTCAGTCCCTCTTCTCTCCCCTCTGTTCTCTTTCCCTCTCCCTACCCGTGAGGTCTCTCTCTCAAAATCCCTACTACTGTTACTATTCCATACTTCAACTGTAGTCAAAGTATTAAAGATAGTTGGCTTGTCTCTATTTTCACTCATGTTCCTACAAAAAAAGCAAAATCGTTGATACCCTCATTTGGGGGGACAGTGAAATATGGGCAAGATAGGAATAGGTGCAGCGAGATAGAGTATGCCACTATTCCATAGTCCAACTGTAGTCAAAGCATGAAGGGTAGTTGGTTTGTCTCTTTTTTCATTCCTGTTCCTACAAAAAATGCATAATCGTTGATACCCTCATTTTGGGGGTGAGAGTGGGGATTGGTAAAGGGACAGCGAAGTTGGGTTATGTACGATAGAGATGTAGAGATCAAAGATACTATTCCATACTTCAACCTACACGTAAGTGGGTAGTACTTTCCTTCTCTTTCTGTTTCTGAACGTATTCAGTTATTCTCTCTCTCTCTCTATTTGCAGGGAGTTGTTGGTACAGAGGAGACGCTTACTCTGCTGCACAAGTTTACTGATTCTTTTCCTGGAGCTTCTGTGAGCACTGCTCTTTAGCTAGACTCCTCGAGCCTAAACAGCACTCTCTTCGTTCAATATCCTCCTTTCTCCCCTTCCTCTCTCTTGGTTTCAGTTGGTGCCACTCTCAGCTGCCCAGATTCAACTTCAGTACAATAGTCTGTATCCTCCTCGATCACTACGGGTCATTTTTGGGGTTTAAAACATGCTTGTCTGACTGAACCTTTTTTGTCACAGTTGTGGCACACGTGAAACTTTTCCACCAAATATTATTTCAAACATGCTTGATTCGGTTACCCTTGTCCCTTTTCCGCGCATAAAACAGTAACTTAATAACTTTCAGTTGAACTGCCAAGTAAATTTTCCTTGTTCGTATGAACTACGTAAGTCACGTTAATATAATTTATAAACTTTTGCTTGGAAAAAACACTCTCTGGTTTGAAATACACTTTTTTCTGAGCTAAAGCGTTCCCTCAGATCTCTCTCAATGACCATACTGACTGGAGGCAGCACAGAGTTCACTAGTAAGTCACCTGACGTCACATGACCTCCTTGTTATGATCATGTGACACCCCAGATCTCCAGTTTGCTCACCAGCGACTTCCCCAGACAATGCCAGGCATACCCAGTCCCCTCGGCTACCTCAAGGTACACTATTATACTGTGCAACTTCCGAACAATGGACACTTTGGTGGAAACGATTTTGTCCCTTATAGAGAGGCTTTCCGTATTAAATAATACACTAAAGTATTAGATGGAGTTAAAACTAGTATCCTTTGTAGAGAGGTCGTCCCAATCTCAGATGGTCGCTTATCGGAGGTTCCACTGTATACATGTATATACACATACGAGGGAGTAAACTTTTCTAGATTATGTAGCGAAGAAAATGATTATGGAGTGGTTGTTTTGAGGAGTGAAATGAGCGGTTGTTTCTCTCTTCTATCCCTGCAGGCATTCATCCATGGGTTCCTGGGAGGGGAAGGGACAGTCCCTGAGCTAGAGGAGGCTGCCACACCCCTCTCTCGGCCCCAGACAGGCCGACTCCAGCCACCACAGATGCCAATCTCTTCCCCCTCTCGCCCGTTCCTCCCCTCCTCCCCCCTCCCCTCCATCCCCTCCCTCCCCACCCCTCCCTCTTTCCCCCACTCTCTCCCCTCTCTCTCCCCTTGGTCCTACCCCACCACACCAGAACAGCTGCGCTCCCTTCTACTGGCTCCACCCATTGCCACACCCACTACCACTCCCACCCCACCATTAATGATATTCATGGCTAGTTTGTCTCAACTGTGTCAGTTCTGGCAGACGGCGGCTCTGGATAGAGCCCAGCCCCCACCTCTCACTGGACAGGTGAGATTTCTCAACCTATGACCTGTGTATATATGTACAGCACGATATATATATATATATATATATTATATATACGCATACTATCTTGTAAATAAGTTAGGGGTTCGTACAAGCATGGGTCGATGACTAGTGCTTATGCTGATTTTCATGGGCCTTGTTTTACCTCATACAAAAAAAAACCGGTGCATCTTCAAGTGTGTAGAGCAAGTCTTAAACTCTGCCAGTACTGTTGCCAAGAGCTGTGCTTTAGAATAGTACCCTGTTTTCTTTCCAGGTTCTCTCATGCAATGCTGCGCACGCCATCAGGCCAATATTTTATGTGGCCCATCTGGGGAAAAATCATGCATTTTGTAACCGACATGGATTGCATGCATTCATCTACTCCCTATGCTCTATTATATACAGTTGCAGTACATGTCAACTGACAGAAGGGTGTACCACTATCGTGCAGATACTCTGAACGTGTCACTGTCCATTGAGAATGCACACTCGCCCACTCTCCAGCTACAGTTGACTCCTGCCAGAGGTTTTAGTACAACACACCTTCTACCACATTGTTTAGAGCCCTATATAGTACAGAATTCAGGTGCACTGAAAGCATATTTTGTGTACCAAGTTGCACTTATGGTCCTTTATTTCGTTTGGTTAGGGATCTGTTATTAGTTCTCGCGTGCACATGCACACGGCCAAAAGCAGTGTAATCATTTGCTAAAAATATTTTAGTGAGAAAACATTTTTTTGGCCCTGACAAAACTGTCTATTAGGTTAGCATATGTGAAGTTATATTTGTCTCCCCCTACTTCTCATTCAGAGGGATGCTGGTCACCCCAGGAACTGCAGCTGCTGGTTGATTTCTGGAAGAGTGAGGTGGCCTGTCCGCCATTTTCCCTCCAAGCCATCATCTCTTACGTGAAGCTAATTCAGCTTCCACTGCTGACTCTCAAGAGCTGCGTTCAACTCATTGGATACCATCTGGTGAGGACAGGGAACAATAGCCTGCACACACACCTGTGCTGGTAACATGCAGGGGTTCATTTAGGGGGGCAGGGGGGCACTTGCCCCCCTTTATAAACTCTCCCCCCTCCCCCATTGGAGTTTAAGTGAATCTTTTGCACACAAAGTGTTCTGCACTTCCGCTTTTTTCAGTGGAACCTCCAATTAGGAACCCTCCGAGATAGGGACGACCTCTCTACAAAGGACACTTGTTTCAACACCATGCTAATATCTTAGTGTATTATTTGACCTCCGAGAGAGGGACGACCTCTCTACAAAGGACACTTGTTTCAACACCATGCTAATATCTTAGTGTATTATTTGACCTCCGAGAGAGGGACGGACGGCCTCTCTACAAAGGACACTTGTTTCAACCCCATGCTAATATCTTAGTGTATTATTTGACCTTCGAGAGAGGGACGGACGGCCTCTCTACAAAGGACACTTGTTTCAACCCCATGCTAATATCTTAGTGTATTATTTGACCTCCGAGAGAGGGACGGACGGCCTCTCTACAAAGGATACTTGTTTCAACCCCATGCTAATATCTTAGTGTATTATTTGACCTCCGAGATAGGGACGACCTCTCTACAAAGGATACTTGTTTCAACCCCATGCTAATATCTTAGTGTATTATTTGACCTCCGAGATAGGGACGACCTCTCTACAAAGGACACTTGTTTCAACACCATGCTAATATCTTAGTGTATTATTTGACCTCCGAGAGAAGGACGGACGGTCTCTCTACAATCTACAAGGGACAAAATAGTTGGCCCTAGTTCAGAGGTTCCACAGTATATACATATTTTGATCAATTTCCAGCCCTGGTGTTCCTTTGGTGTACTTTTGGCTTACTTTCACTGCCCCCCCACCCCCATTCCCCCAGATGCCACCTCCAAACCTGGTGTGGCAAGTGGCTCTGTGCCTGGTGATACCTCCGGGAGGTGGAGATGAGATCCCTATTCAACTGAAGCCTGGGACCTCTGGCGTCATCTACAAGGGAAAACTACTGCTGATGGTATATACATTCATTGGGGGCCTTTAGATCAGTTCCGAGTTTTGTTAATGGGGCGTTCAAATGGCACTGCACGGTGTCTGAGGGTCCATTTTTGGACGGTTTATATACATCTTCTGCAGAGCACGATGCTCAAGCTTTGAGGCACGTCTGTGGTGGTCAGTTTGACGTTGGTTAGAGAGGATCTCTGAGCAGTAAATTTGGTACCGCGATCGCTCCCCAGTTCTCTTTTGCTGAGAATGAACACAGTATATACTCTCTTTTTATTTTCTTCACTGATGACCAGGAGCAAGCAAACCCATTTACTGCCACACACTGTAAATGCAATAATATGTGGCACCGCTCTCAATTATTGCCGCCCTCTTATCTTCCCAGATACAACTGATTCACACGCAGGATGGCAGGAAAGCCCTCATTCCCCTCATGCACGATCTCCGTGCCAACAACACCTTCGCAGCCCGCCACGCCCACCAGACGCCAGCCCTCAGCAACATTGACACTATCCTCAAGAAAGCTTCTCAGGAATGCATACGGCCCAGTCAGTTATATATTATATACACTGTTGCTGCATCCCAGCTTTTTTTTTGTGCTTCGGCCATTGTGGTTGTTATTTCTTATGCACACCTGCATTTTTGTGCAGTGTATACATACTTGGTGTTTCATGTATCACTAAAAAGTGCCAAAACGGTCTGATTCCCCTCTCCTCCTCCTCCTATAGATCATCAAGAATCCTCCATCTTCCCAGCTGTGAAAGCTCTCCTCAATTACTCCCCAAGCTCCACCTAGCAACTCCTTCCTCTACACAGACTCCACACTGTCAAAAATTGGACACAATTTCACCCTTTTTTCAACATCCTGCATGATAATGTAACTCTTGCGCATGCAATGCACAGTGTCCTAATGAACGAAACACTGGACACCCTGCGTGGTTTTTTGCTCATAGCGCATGCGCCGTAGTGGATTGATCGAAGGGCTTTACCTTGACCGGCCGCAGTCCTGCCATCTGCCTCAGTGACATAACTTTTGAAAGCGGATTTCCGAGGGTTGGAACAACCAGCTCAAGCTTTCCCAAGGTGATTTTTGTCTGTTGATAATACCTGGGAGGGGTGCCGTGTACGGAAAGCGTGAAATACGCGAGGACGCGGCGGCGGGAGATCTTGGTGTGACGTGTGTGTGTCCAACTATTGTAGACTTCCGGATACTTATGTGGCTACTATCCCTGGCGGCATGGAGGGCAGGTTTAGCCTAAGCAGGCCACAAACACGCTCCGTCCCTGATGTCGCAGCGTCCCAATACAAAACAAAGGAAGAAGGGGCGTGGCTCGTACATCACTTGTAAGCACCACCTACTAGCCTAACCCCTCTTTTTAGTTAGAACATGTACAGACCCCCCAGAGGAAGTTGAAAGTCATGCATTCACTGGCATTCACATTGGAATTCTTGTACGGTTCACGTGATCGTGTCCGCGCAGCAGACCCCACATTCTGGAATGCTCCAGTGAGAAAATGGTGGAATTCTATACAGTATATAGCTAGCTACACATTCTTCTGTTGTGCCTAAAAGGCGGCCGTAGTTGTAGATGTTGTAGATGCTGAACGAGTGACACTCTTGTGGCGCTACCAACCTTTTGGCGCGCAGACTTTTGCTAGCTAGATTCATCTTTTCCGACTCTGACTGAGCTCAAGCCTGATCAATTTTCCACGTGCATATACTATTTATACGAATGACAATGCGTAATGAATTAGCCCCAAGTCTACATAGAGTACGGATGCCACACTCTCATTCCTGTCCAGAGCAGTCAACAAGATGTCTGATCGGCTATCGACAGTGGACGTCAGCAACTCTCTTGAACCACTCACAGTCGAGGAGACCAGGAAATTGTTCTTTCAGCTTCGAGTGCCGCTGAAAAGACTGGATGACATTGCTGCTCAGTACCACGGTGACATGCAGAAAGCTTACCTTGTGCAGGCCTGGCTGGACATGAATCCTGATGCCAGTTGGGACAAATTGATTGCTGGGGTGAGAAAGATCAACAAGAACTCCTTGGCAACTGAGATTGAGTGTGGACATGCCCCATTGACTGCAACTCCAGCTACCCCAGCTGATCCTCGTAACCCTCATTATTATACCTACCCCAGCTCTTGTCGGTCCTCTCGCTCCAGTGACTGCAACCCCAGCTCCTGTCGGTCCCCTCGCTCCAGTGGCTGCAACCCCAGCTCTTGTCGGTCCCCTCGCTCCAGTGACTGCAACCCCAGCTCCTGTCAGTCCCCTCGTTCCAGTGACTGCAACCCCAGCTCCTGTCAGTTCCCTCGCTCCAGTGACTGCAACCCCAGCTCTTGTCGGTCCCCTCGCTCCAGTGACTGCAACCCCAGCTCCTGTCGGTCCCCTCGCTCCAGTGACTGCTCCTGTCGGTCCCCTCGCTCCAGTGGCTGCAACCCCAGCTCCTGTCAGTCCCCTCGCTCCAGTGACTGCAACCCCAGCTCCTGTCAGTCCCCTCGCTCCAGTGACTGCAACCCCAGCTCCTGTCAGTTCCCTCGCTCCAGTGACTGCAACCCCAGCTCCTGTCGGTCCCCTCGCTCCAGTGACTGCAACCCCAGCTCCTGTCGGTCCCCTCGCTCCAGTGACTGCAACCCCAGCTCCTGTCAGTCCCCTCGTTCCAGTGACTGCTCCTGTCGGTCCCCTCGCTCCAGTGACTGCAACCCCAGCTCCTGTCGGTCCCCTCGCTCCAGTGACTGCAACCCCAGCTCCTGTCGGTCCCCTCGCTCCAGTGGCTGCAACCCCAGCTCCTGTCGGTCCCCTCGCTCCAGTGACTGCAACCCCAGCTCCTGTCGGTCCCCTCGCTCCAGTGACTGCTCCTGTCGGTCCCCTCGCTCCAGTGACTGCAACCCCAGCTCCTGTCGGTCCCCTCGCTCCAGTGACTGCTCCTGTCGGTCCCCTCGCTCCAGTGACTGCACCCCAGCTCCTGTCGGTCCCCTCGCTCCAGTGACTGCAACCCCAGCTCCTGTCGGTCCCCTCGCTCCAGTGACTGCAACCCCAGCTCCTGTCGGTCCCCTCGCTCCAGTGACTGCTCCTGTCGGTCCCCTCGCTCCAGTGACTGCAACCCCAGCTCCTGTCGGTCCCCTCGCTCCAGTGGCTGCAACCACAGCTCTTGTCGGTCCCCTCGCTCCAACAGCTCCTGTCGGTCCCCTCGCTCCAGTGACTGCAACCCCAGCTCCTGTCGGTCCCCTCGCTCCAGTGACTGCAACCCCAGCTCCTGTCGGTCCCCTCGCTTTTGCTCCTACCAAGTCCTTCGAGCAGAAAGTGGCAGAGGCTACAGACAGCATTGAGCACTTGCAGGAAGAGTTTTCAGACCTGAAATCTGATGCACGTGAGTTGCTCTCCGAGAGAGAAATTCAAAATCAAAGGTTTGTTCGAAAGTTCCGCGATCATCTCCTCGACCTACCTGTCACCAAAAAGCAAGTTCACATTCGTTTCTTCAGCAAAAATGTACGTGAAATTGTGGCCGCTGAAACTATCCAAATGCTTTTCATCATCCTTGGCCGCTACTGCAACTATTCCAACTATGAGATAATCTTCCACATTGTCAAAAGGTTCTGTCATGAGTTGAAAGGAAGAATGCTGACATATCGTGACTCTCTCACCAGTTTTGAAAAGTCCACGACAGTCGATGTATACCTCTGTTGCATTTCAGCTCGTCCTGGTGGCGAGATTTGCAAAGGGTTCATCCGCATGACCATGAAAATCAACAAGCCACCCTCTGAGTGTTCGCTGCATGAGATCCGAGAGTTGAAGGAATCCATCGAGGAGAGGGCATCTATAGAGTCCTATGCCATGTACATCGAGAGCCCAGGGGAAGGCTCTGTACACGTGGGGCTGCTTATTCACGAGGGGGTTATACCGATGGCGGCTGCAGTACTTCACAACACTGACTTCAGACAAACAAATCATCTGACAGAGGTGACAATAGCGGGACAAGACGTCAGAGAATACATTGTAAGACCCACTTTTGCTGTTTTCTAGTTGCTTATTTTTGCATTAAACAAAGTTGCTCTTTATGTCATTTTAGTTCCGTGCAAAGTTTGGGGTTTGCCTTTGACTTGTGTTGTGTTGTTTGAGCCCAGCCTGCTTGTAGCACAGTGGTAGGGCACTCTAGAGAACCGAGTGTCAAAAGAGTGTCGTGGTTTCAAGTCCCACATAGGGTAGCTCTTTTTTCCTTGAAAAAATGTTGTCAGTTTAGTTTTGTTTTTACACCCCTTGAATCATGGATGTGATTAACCCAGGGATAAGGCTAGTGCTGATTACATGTTGAGTGTGATTGTCCATTGACTACATCCATGCTATGGTCAGCCAAAGAATTCCGTGTTTTCCTCGTGCCATCTAGGATCAAAGGCTGTGGTTTGCGTGTCAGGCAGGGTCATGTGAAGGAAGTGACTTCCCTGATAACATTAGGAGCTGATGTGAATTTCAGATACGATGCGGTAAGGCATTGTGTAGTAACCTCTATGTGAAGTCATCGGTGTCTCTTATTTACACATATCTGTCATCACAAAAGTTTTTTAAAACGACTCCATTGATGATAGCTCTTGTGGAGGACAAGCCTCAAGTCGTTCCACTGCTAATAGAGGCTGGAGCTGAAGTTAACATACAGGATGAGGTATGAAGCTTTGAGAACATACAGTGCTTTCAAACTACTTAATTCACAGTGTTTCCAGAGGATTTTTAGAGATAAAAATGTTGACAGCATACCTGAAATTTTGCGTAGTAACTGGGTAGTGACTTGTATACGTGGGGGCCCTTGTCCCTTGCCATCAAATACTGTCATTTCACATCACACAGTCAGGACGAACTGCACTGATGGATGCTGCTGCAAGGGATGAAGCAAAAATTTTTTCGCTGCTACTCACAGCCGGAGCTAATACTGACATACAGGATGGGGTATGGAGAATGTGTGAAGCGACTAAACTAGTAGAAATCTAGTCCTATTCACTTCGGCGCTGACTGACAAATATTCTATACTATGACCTGTTACCATGCTTTGCATAAAGACTACAGACTGGCATGTGAGACAATTGGGTTTAGCTGCACCATAAGTTAGTCACTGCACACTTTTCACAAATCGGCCCGGAAGAAAGCTACCCGTGCCATCTCTACGTACACGCTTATATTACTCTTCTACTTTGATGTCGCCCCGCTTAGGAGTCATAGTATTCTCTTGCATAATAATGATAAGACTACATACCATCTGTGGCTCTCAGATAGCATAGTGGTAGTGCACTTAAAACTCAAAAGATGATTCCTTCAACCTTTTATGTGGCTTACTCCCCATATAATTATGGTTTATTAAGAGGTACGTGTCACTGTAAATGTCTGTCATCTCACAGGCTGGACACACTGCACTAATAATAGCTGTTAAGTGTATACCACTGCTGGTAAAGGCGGGAGCTAACACCAACCTGCAGAATAAGGTACGAGATCTCTGAATTTGAGGCATGTAGAACGAGTGCCCCTCAAAGGAATTTGTGCACTCTTGAAATACAGAGAGCTCTCTGGAAACAATGGTGAAGTGTGTAAAAACAGTACGGAACATTTGCACAGACTCTGTAAGGGTGACTTTGAAGTTTAGCACCGTTAATCCATCGGCTCAATGCCTGTCATGAACAATTGGCAAGTGAAGCGAACCCACCTAGTCGTCTGAATGCGGGGATTTTTCCATACATATATTTCCCTCTGTAACGGTGAACCGGCACATACCGTAATGTTTACGTGATTCTAAATACGTGCACGAAAATATTTAACTGCTCGCAAAAATGCGTTGCATTCCTCTAGTGACGAGGGGCATTCCCTGTAAAGTGCTTTTTATGATCACCGTTTTTCACAAAGGAAGGAGACACTGCACTGATGAAAGCTGCGTGGATGGGTAGGACTGAAGACGTCTCAATGCTAGTGAAAGCTGGAGCAGCACTAGATCTGCAGAATAAGGTTTACCGTTTATCTTTACCTATACATGCACAGTGAGGATTACTGCTTTTTCCACCGCAGAAAGGAGACTCAGCTCTGATATTGGCCACAACAAGGCAGCACATACGAACTGTAAAGGAGCTAGTCAGAGCTGGAGCTGATATCAACCTCCAGAATGAGGTGATCTGAGAGCCAAGCCTCATCTGTAGTCAGGAAATGGACTTTATCCTATTGGCCTCTTGTGTTTGATTACTGGATGTGACTGTGACTTTATAGGAAGAGCTCACAGCTCTGATGATATCTTCAATATCTGGCGTGACGGATATAACAAAGACGCTCCTGTCGGGGGGAAATATTTCTATTGATATTCAAACCGTAAGACTAAACAACCTCTGTTGTTACCAAGTGTCTTTAATATCTCTCTCTCTATCTGCCAGAAAAATGGGTGGTCAGCTCTCTTCTTCGCTGCTGATGAAGGAGATGTAGCAACAACAAAATTACTGCTCGACGCAGGGGCTGACCCTCTCCTCAGAGATAATGTGAGGAAATGCAAATGGGATTATTGCAGGAATGACTATTCTATCACTATATTATTATCATTGGTCTTTCAGAGTGGACTGACCGCTGTGGATGTTGCATCTGCTGGTGAAAATGATGATGTTTATGGGCTACTGAGGAACCATATTATGACGACCAAGACATTACAGTCAAGAGTATCTCAGGTATGGAATTCAAGTATAGCGGACGAAAATCTTTATTTGTGCAGAGTATCGCGTCACAAAACCAATCCAAAAACCAAAAAAACAACCAAAAAAAAAAACACCAAAACCCAAGCCAAAGAACTCCCAAGAAACCCCAAAATTGCCGAAAAACAAGAAAAAACCCAACCAGAAGACAATATCGCAGAACTAACCTATACCAAGACAAAACTAAACGCACACGACTCAGGGAGAGCACGTACTGCGCGCAGGCAGGTTAAGGGCGTCGAGGGAACTAAGATGTAGATCAGCAGTGCCAAACCGAGTGGGGGTCGAAGACCCACACGCCAACCGTGTAGCGACTCCTATCACGATTGCAAAGATAACCTTAAACAACAAGCGGAAAGCAAGTCGCGTAACAGCGTCTAACCGAGGCTCCGCAAGCGCGGGAAAGATACACCACACCACAGCATTGGAAGGGGTGTTACGCGTGCGAACGTAAGTCGCCGCGAGTGGGAGCTGCGACGAAATACGAAGTACAGGCAGCAGCACGGGGGAAATTATGGAACAGTACGCGCTAAGGGGGACCAATGGTAGGAGGATCTGAAAGTGGCCAACCCGAAGCCTCGCAAAGCTAATAAAAGGGTGGAGTCAACCCAAGGCTCGACACTCGTTGGGAGGACGTGGCCAATTTGCAGATCAGGCCCGGGACGAATTAGATGGAGAAACGGACACACGAGAAATAAGAGGACCAGCTCCCGAACCACGGGGGACTCACAGAGGTGGACCAGAGGAACAAGGTCACGCAGCAATTAAATGCGGAGAGCGTGCGCCTAGAATCCGCGCCAGTAAAGCTACTTGAAGGGGGTTGAGGGGACAGCGCCGAGAGGACTCATCGGACGCGCGGAGTCACCCGCGGCTGCCAGTCACGACTGTACTATAGGGACACGGTAACCGTGGCAAGGGAGTCGCGCTATTCCAGCGGCAACCTCCCCAAGGGTGTGAGCAGGAGGATCCAACACCCGAAAGCTAGATTCGGAGTGGGAAGATCTGCGAGACAGGAGCGGGAGGAACAGAGGAATCCGTCAAAGATGCTAACATGAGTCCGAAGGTACCAGACAAGCATCTCCCAAACAAAACCACGGAATGGGCCTCAGTAGACGGGGGGACACCAAAAGAAGCCAGCTTACCAAACGTTTATCTGTGAGGTCTATGAATGTCTCTTCGGCTTTTCCTCCTGTATGTGTATAGCTATGTCAACCGCGTTGTGACGCCTACAGTAAATTAACAGGGTACAGAGCGCTGTGAAGAAAGCCAGACATTCGGCAAAACCAGCGTCATTCGTCTGGAGACTAGCAGTCGTGAGATACGATAACTGAAACAAGAGTCGAGGGTCAGAGTGAAGAGAGGTCTCGAAGAACGTTGAGACGCACACCCACCCCGCCCGGTCTTCCACCAGCATTGGAGTCAAGAGATGAATACTGTTCCAGCCTCACACCACCTTGACACTGCTCTCTTGCTCATCCACAATATCTCCTCACCCTTTAATATTGACCCATCTTTAAAATCAAATTTCCCATAGTGCAGATCGACATGGCTTGTGCATGCGAATCTTTGCATGCACCATTAGTGCCTGAAAACTTTCTATTTGTGTACAGAAGTCTAGTACTTGCTGCCCCGCCCTCCACCCCACAGGGTTGACAGATGGTAAGAAATATTGGCAGTAAGGTTGGAGGCTGTTGCTGTATTGTGGACACAGACAGCCCTTCTGCCCCAGGTGTACAACTAGGCTCAAAAAAGGCGTGGTCTGAGGATAGGTCTGGAATTGGGTTTTGCCTCTCCTTCCAGAGGAAGTCACCCTCACTTCATTGGACTCCAGTGGCTGGCCAGGGGGTCTTTCAACTCTAAAACCGACCTGGTGGGAACTGCGCGCTCCCAGACCCCGGGATCGGGGTGGGTCTTCTTCCAACCTGTTCCATGACAACTGTTTTCTGATACCCCCCTCCTGTTTACCGGGACAACCCAGCTGGGGTTGCGTGTGGCCTCCGTCTCGAACCTTCCCCAATGGCGTTTTTCTTTGTGAGCACCCCTTCGTGTTTGCCCCTAGGCAGGAGCGTCCACACCACTGCCCTTGCTAGGACATGTTCCGAACGTTTTTAGACGTTGCTGAATAGACTCGTAGTGTTGTGGTCTTTGAAAGCATTCATGATCGCGGCGCGGTTTATGATACCACGTGGGTCGCGCATCGGGCGCATAAACCGGCGAAAGATGCTGGCGTTTGGAGTTCATTCCCTCCTGTACTCCACCTCAGAGCAGGGTGCGGGGGCAGCCCCGCCTTACTTGCAGTCTAGACCTCACAACCCTGCAGCCGTAGGATCTTTCTCGCTGCTAGCTGTCATCTCTAACAGGTAAACACTCCCTGTTGAGAAGAAACGGTGGATGTTTATGACGTCATTTCAGCTAACTTCATATTTCATCAGTGAAGGGGCGCTACGTCAACAGCCACACTCCGTGTCTTCCCTTTCTCCACCCAACCACGTTCATTATAGAGTTTTATCTGCCTTAAGCCCTCAATAGAAGTTTAACAGCTACCTCCCATCATGACCCTGTCCCGTCTCGAGGATACCAGCCTGTCTCCCATGTGACCTTCTCCAGTGGAACTCCAAGTATGTGTATGATCCACCTCACCTTCTGCCTCAGCTGCTGTCTGAGGCAATCCACCGTAGCAGGCGAAATGAAGTATGGGAACATTAAGCATCTATTACAAAGGGGTTTAGGCATTCCTGTCTTTTTCGCAATTTGCACACCATGTGGCCTCAGGTACTAAGTGCTATTCCTGCACTAGGGGGGGGGAGGGGGGGGGGTGGGAGGGGGTGGAGGTGAGGCGTCTTTAGGGGTAGTGTTGGGGGGTTGTGTGGAGGTGAGGGGTAGTCTCGTACGGTTCTTGGTGGTCTGTTTTTTGGGTTATGTTTTTCTTTTTTTTTTTTGCGTCGGGGTGTTAGGTGTTTTTTTTTGTGTTTCGGGTCTTTTCTTTTTTGTCGTATACTTCGCATGCCACCCTTACAGGCCTTATATATACAATACTGAAACATTTCCGCACTGGCCCTATCTGTACAGACATTTGCCTACACATTGCTGCATACAACACACTGAATATTGTACTAGGTGAACATGTTATGTACACGGAGTATGGTCCACTACTGGTTCAGCTTTAGCCAGTCTCAACTATCACCAGCATACCTTCTCTTTTTACGCCTCCTGACCTCTAATTGCAGACTCTCAGTATCCTTATTCAGACGATTCAAAATGTCGAACACTATGCCAACGCTTCGCCTAGAGTCCGTGCTCGTGGTTTTTGGAACACTGGCCAAGACGCATTGTTTTGATGTTGGGTTTTCCACCCCCACGCGTCAAGCCCGTTCGTCTGACCACTGCAGCAGCATATCGCAACCCGAAACGCAAGAATAGAGAATATGCCCAAAGTTCGGAAGTTGAACATGGGGATTTTTTACGACCATCTTGTCCTCAATCAACACGGTGGTAAGTGGCACGTGAAGCCAGACATTCTACAAAGAACTGGCTATGAGTTTTGTCCCCGGAGCAGAGAAGCAATACTCTCTAGTCATGGGTTGGATTCGCTGCCGCCTATCATTCGCTTTTTTAAAAAAAAAAACAAAAAAAAATACTCCGATGCTGCTATCCTCTGCATTCGAGAAGTAGATCCTCTCGCCACCGCCCATTCAGGAGCTCAACAGTGAACTTGCCGCTGGCAGAGGGTGGACATGTTCCCTCTGATATGTAGTGTTTTGTTTTTGTTTTTTGTTTTTTTTGTTTTTTTGTTTAGGGTGTTTTGTAAAATAAAACAAAACTACATACATGAGGGTTAACACCTCTAGCCAGCTTACAGCTGCA